GGCGCCAGCTCCAGCGACCCTGCGGATTACTGATGGCCGGCAGGGCAAGACAGAGGCTCCAGTGGTAAGGAGTCGGGCCTTCCAGTTGACTACCGAGGAGGCACGCGTCGCATCCGATGTGGTGACGGGTATGATTTCTACCCTCTAGCTTTTATTTTATGTTTCTTATGATATTGATGTGCCATATGATATGTCTTGTTTAGGATCGTTCCATGTAAACGGTATCCCAGTTCAGGTGTTGTTCGGTTCGGGTGCTACCCGGTCGTTTGTCTCTCTTGCGCTTAGCAAGAAGTTTCCTGAGTCTTCGGGCATGTTGGATTGCCCTCTAGAGGTCGAGATTGCGGACGACCGGTCAGTGCGAGCATCAGAGGTCTACCGAGATTGTGTTTTGCGACTGTTCGAGGAGCGTTATCTGGTATATCTGGTTCCCATACCTTTGCGGGGGAACAAGGTTATTATTGGTATGGATTGGCTAAGCCCCAATGGGGCAGTGATTGACTGTGCGCAACAGTTGGTGCGGATCAAGACCCCAAGTGGGGGAGAGTTGGTGGTTCAGGGCGAGAGGCCACAGCGAGGACCAGCTTTATGTTCAGCAGCGAGAGCTAGGTGCTACCCTAAGAGTAGTTATCAGCTTCTGACTAAGTGTCTTTATGGGAATTATAGCCGGAGAATTGTCGGAGCAGCAGACAGAGACTTCTCACTCGGATTGACAGCATTCATTCATACGAGGTGAGTTACCTTCCAGCAACGGTGGGTCTACGGCCACAATGCCGGCCCACCAGTAGGAGTTGTATGTTAGATGATTGTCTTTGTGATATTCATCTAGGTTTGCTACTGCCTGTTATGTTTAGGTGCTAGTATGATATGATGTTACGTGATGATGGTAGTAGTAGGGGGAGATAGTCCCCAAGCTACCGGCCGATAGGGCCGAAGGGGTAGTTTAGTACCCAACTATGTTAGATTATGATTACGTGATTGTATGTGATAGACCGGTCGAGAGGGACGAAGGGGTAGGCCAGCACCCGGATATGCTAGGCAAGGTCACCGGTCGAGAGGACCGAAAGGGTAGGCCAACACCCAGATATGTTAGGCAAGGTCACCGGTCGAGAGGACTGAAGGGGTAGGTCGGGCACCCAGATATGCCTGGCAGTATGTATGTCGTGTGTGTGTATGGTATGTGGTATGATGGGGGAACTCACTAAGCTTCGTGCTTACAGATTTCAGTTTTGTTTCAGGTACCTCTTCAGCGAAGGGGAAGGAGCCGGCGCGGTAGTGGCACATCACACTCACACATGATTTCCGCATTGAGTTTTCTGGGATTGTACTCTGATTATTACTATTATCCGGTGATATGTTTTTGAGACACGACGTAATGGTTTTATGAATTAATATAATATTAGCAACGTTTGATAAATGATTTCACATGATTAGTTATTTAAAAAAAATGAAATTTTTAGCCTTGAAAATTGGGATGTTACAGTTGGACCTATTGGGATGTGCTTGGGTTGGAAACCCTAGTTAGGGTTTAGAAAACCCTAATCTTGGAGACTTTAGTTTGGGACTTGTCGGGACTCGCGTTTTAGACTGTTGGATTGGAGCTATGAGTTATGCCCGACCACATTGTATGCGTGACCTAGTAGAGTTATGGACTTAATGGATTAAGTACTTAATGGGTTAAGTGTTCTTACTTAACCCCTAATCGTCATTTTATGTGAAAACCCTGATCGTGTTTGGGCTTCGAGTTGGGCCTTTCTTTTGGTCTTAGGTATTTGGGTTCTTGATAGGCCATATGAGAACAAGTGTATGGACTAGGAAAAATTAGACGGGCTTTAGGGCAAGGATTATGTAAGGGGTTTGGGCCCATTCTGGAACATTGGGCCATAATTGGGCCTTGGTTGATTATTTGGCTTTTGGGCCTTCAGAGTATGAATTTGGGCCTTGGTCTTGGACCAAGCTGGGTTAGGGGTAAAATGGTATTTTTACCCCAAGTATGGATTTATGGTTATGAATTGGAACCCAATTATTAATTGGTGTTGTTTTGATGTTGACAGTTTGGGGATCTGTCAGCCAGCAGCCAGAGATTTATCCGCGGGACCTCAGCAGTGCGAGGTGAGTTTCCTCACTAGTTTAGCGGGTCTAAGGCGCCAAGGCCAACCCTCGTTTGGTTATGTTATTATACTTGTTGTCTGTGTGATACTTGTATGTACTTGTATATGTATGTTTATTGGACGGGGACCGTTATGTGAGTGTGGGCGGGGCCCGTATCTCACTTATATCTGAGTGTGGGCGGGGCCCGTATCTCATTATTATCCGAGTGTGGGAGGGGCCTGTATCTCATTGGGCAGGGGACCGTTATTCGAGTGTGGGCGGGGACCGTATCTCATTGTTATTCGAGTGTGGGTTGGGCCTGTATCTCATTATTATTCGAGAGTGGGCGGGGCCCATATATCATTATTATTCGAGTGTGGGCGGGACCCGTATCTCACTATTATTCGAGTGTGGACGGGGCCCGTATCTCATTTGGGTGGGTCCCGTTATATGATATATATGGTATGTGGTATCTTGGGGAACTCACTAAGCTTTGTGCTTACGATTTTTAGTTTATGTTTCTGGTACTTTGGTTTTCAAATGGAAGAGCTCGGGATGATTGCAGAGCTCACAACATATGTTTCCGTATTATGTGATTTACTCTTATTCGATGATGTTTTGCTAAATCTTGATTACCTTGGTTTTATGTTAAATGATATGTATTAACAATTTATTAATCTAAAAATGAAAATTTTATGTTATTATCAGTGGGATGTTACAAAAACATATTTAAATGTATATTACAATCAAGAGTTCAAGACTAAAATACCCTATTATACACGTCACATGTTCATATAACCATTTCACAAAGTCATTCTTTTTAAATACTTTAACATCTTAAACACTCAAATTCTAGGATGTTACCCAGAAGCTTTTACTTTCTATCTCTTGTCGATCTTTCCAAAATGAGAGAGATGAAGTCTAACTAACTTAACACTGCCTATTGGCAATTCTAGTCCTTATTCTTTCTAATTTCCGATTCAATCCACCTTTTTAAACTTAGTCTTTAAATGAACTTCTAAGAGTGGTGGGTGAACTCGATACCATCAACGACAAGGATTATATGTCACTAAGGTGGAGCCCGCACCGGGTGGTTGACTTGCCAATATTTTCCCTCTCTGTAGTAGTTTACTATTGTTTCTCTCTCTTTGACAAAGTTAGGCAATAAGGTGGGCAAGGGAGATGGTTTAAATAGAAGGCATCCACGACACCACTTCCCCGAGCCTAAGAGACTAACACTAATGCCTCATGACAAAATTACACTTGTAAATTGATCCTTTGACTAAGTCAAACCTAGAAAGGTAAGTTTGGCCAATTTGATGCTTCTCACCCTACTCTAAAAATTTATATTATTTCAAGTTCAAACTTATTAATCTTATTTATTATCCAAATAATTATTTATTTAATAATGATATTATCTATTTATTTTTTATTTATAAATAAAAATTTAATGTTGGTAAAAAATAGGATGTTATAATTTCCTCTACTGATTTCATGTATATACCAAACAGAGCCGTCTCAACCGGTTTGGGGGCTCTAAGTAAAACAAAAATTTGGGGCCCCTTGTCAAATCTAGAAAACTGAAAACTCAAATTCGTTCCAACAATCCAACTTGATTCACTGATTGTATTGTAATTTGTTGTAATCAATAAACAATGGAATAAAAAATCAGATAAATGAAAAAAAGAACTGAAAAGTATTAACCCATGGAATAAAAAATCAGATCAAGAAAGATTCATTCTCGTTTGAATCTGCTAAAGAACAAGAGATGTTGTATAGTCAGACAACTCAAAAACGATTTTGATTGAACATGGTCACTACCAATCTGCCTTTAATCGGGATTTTTAAAACAAACATGATTTTGATTGAAAAAAAATAAATTCAGATTCCATTCCAATTCCATAAACCAAAGCCAATAACCATAATCAACTTTAAGTATTAACCCTAATTAGATAATCAAATGACAACATGACAGATAATGGAAAAATAAAAAGTGACAAGTGAAAAAACTGCAAATATATTACCGTTTCAGTGATACTGTGAGTCTGTGACAACCTTCAATGGAGAATGAAGAAGCCAAGAATGGAGAAGGAAGAAGAAGAACAAAATGTGTATTTCAATGGTTCAGACTTCAGAGTGTTCAAGACGAGAATGGAGAAGGAAGAAGAAGACCGGTAGTCGTCGCTTGTACAATAAGAAGAACAGAACTTCTTTTGAGGGTTAGGCGTGCAACGATTCCCGGAAAAGCGTGCAGGGAATTCATTTTTTTTTGGAACAACCAAATGGAATATCGACGAGGTAATCGGAAATTGGGTTTAAGTGGGGCCCCTTAAAAGTGGGGGCCCTAAGCCCTATCTTTGTTTATCTACACTTAAAGTCGCCTTGATACCAAATATACAACATTTCTCATACAAATGAAATACAATTTGAAGCAAAATATATTAACCTATAGCTAAAAGAATGACAATTGGAAACTGTCATTCCCCTATGCAAAACTATGCAAGACTCTCGAAAACTCAAGCCACATTAAAATATGAAGTTGTCAAAAAAAAAAAAAAAAATCCATTGCATAAGAAAACTTACATGATTCGGCCATGGGTTCTCCTCAACCATTTCTACAAGTTTAGCAATGCAAATTTGTAGGATGAGAGGTTTCAATATGATACTTTGAAAATGAAAGTGATAACTGATGGAATTTTTGGCTTATATACAAAAAACCACAATTTTGAATTTCGTATTTTAAAAAAAAAAGATAGTTATTCTTTTAAAACTTTAAAAATCTTCCAACAAGATGGTTATTTTTGTCATTTTTTCACAACTAAATTAAATTCTAATGTTTTATATATTTTTAAACATATATTTTCAAATTTATCTTTAAAGAAAAAGAATAAAGGCAACTAGGGGAAGCCGCGCATCCTCCCGGATTCAAATTCCCGCGGCTCGTTTTGAAGCGCTGCTTTTCTCGTTTTGGTCTCCAGGTTTTTCAGATCGAGAAACCCCAATTTTGAATCTACAATCCCGCCATTGATTCATCAAAACTAACTTCACAATACAAATCTCAAATCGGATCTATCGATCGAGCTGAGTTTCAAGGATTTCCATCCATGGCGTCACTTCATGATTCCGATACCAAAGTCCCTTCTCTCTACAGCCGCAAAGAGAAGTCTCTTGGCGTCTTATGCTCCAAGTATTTATTCATTTACCTTTCTCTCTTGTGCACACATGCACTCTTTAGATCTTATCTGCTTCTTATATCACAATCTGAAATCGATTAATCTTCAGTTTCCTGAGGCTGTATAATCGAGAAGGCGTTGAATCGATAGGACTTGACAACGCAGCAAATCAATTAGGTTCTCATCTGACTTTTATGCTTGAGTACGATTTTCCTTAATGATAATGAACAAACAGAATCAGAATGATAAAAGGATCTTGGAAAAACCCACAGGTGTTGAGAGGCGGCGAATTTACGACATCGTCAACATATTAGAAAGTGTTGGCGTAAGTTTTTTCGCTCTTCATCTTTGCATTGTTTTGCTTTCTGTTGATTTGTTCAAGAAATTGGTTGCACATAGTTGGTTTAGGGTTTGTAGTTTGTTTAATTTTCAGGTCTTGACAAGGAAAGCAAAGAATCAGTATACTTGGAGGGGTTTCCGTGCTATTCCGCAAGCTTTAGAAGAGCTTAGGGTATGTCAAAATACACACTTATTCTCCTGATAATTTGTTTTGGTATGATTGATTAAAGTTAAACAATAAGATGAACACATGACTTGTGAAATTTTGTGTGTACATTCACTTGTAGAAACAGGCATCATCGAACGACAACCTGAAAATGTCACAATACTACAACTTCGGAACTGTAAGTTCTCCATGTTTAAGTTCGAGTTTTCTCTTATTTCTTATCTGTCAAAAGAACTCCTGAAACACATTTTCTTTGTTTTGAATTTACTTAAAGATCGAGATTCTTTTACTAGGTTTTAAATGAGAACAATTGTCGTGGGCCTTCTAATTCAAACAACTCAAACACTGACACACATATCAAACCTTCCGGATCTCATAAAAGTGGTAAGTTGATTTCCTTCTACTTCTCTTTACATATTCAGTTCATAATCAACCATTCTTGTTTAGATGCCAATGAGATACAAAACATGACACATTGTTTGTATTTCTTGACATACATTTCAGACACCAACAGGAAGGAAAAATCTCTAGGACTTCTGACACAAAATTTCATCAAGCTATTCATCTCTTCTAAGGTGAGTGAAACTTGAAAACTAAAAACCATTTTTTACTCAAAACAGCCTATTCTTAATCTTGGTTCCTAAACACACTTTCTTTATATTCTTCAGGAAGATTTGATCTCTTTGGACACTGCTGCAACAGCATTGCTTGGTGATGTGCATGACCCAACAGCCATGAGAAGTAATTTCATTTCCAATTTGATTTATAAATTTACTTTTACACCCCTTACACTTACACAACACACATTCTGTATACCCAGCAAAAGTGAGGCGATTATATGACATTGCAAATGTCTTTTCATCCATGGGTCTCCTTGAAAAGGTATAGCCTCTACAGTCTACACTTCTACTTTCTTTGTTTATAAAGATAACACAATTAGTCAATTACAAGGCATTTTATCTAAAAAAGTGATAAATCTTTTTATGTTTTTTGCAATTTTTTAAAGATGCGACACCCAGAGAGTGGAAAACCATCATTTAGATGGTTGGGATTGAAAGGGGAAAAGGAGACAAAATCTTTACAACCATTGGATACAAATACAATTACAAACAGCTCAAAAAGGCGAGCTTTTGGGACAGATATAACAAACAATGTTAATGATTCAGATTCAAAAAGATACAGAATGGAATCTTTATCTGATTGGAGCTCAAAAGAAGTTACTGTAGCAATGCATGGGAATATGAATATGAATATGAATATTGACATTGTGAAGGTGGAAATGGAAAGTGATGAGAATTTGTGTTTACCTTTACACCCTCAAAATCAAAGAAATTCAAAGGAATTTGTGTTTGGGCCATTCAGACCTGTAGGAATGTCTGGAAACAAAAAGTCAAAGGAGGGTCAAGATTGGGAGAAGTTGGCTCATACTTATCGTCCTCAGTATCACAACAAAGGTACATGTTGCTAAATCTTTTTCATTAAGTCATGACTTTTACAAATTTACCCTTATAAGATAGTGTTTGATATGTTGATAATATGACATGACAGCTTTAGGTGATGTTTTGGGGCATTATGTGGAGGCTTGGAAATCATGGTATGTTGAAGCAACTGAGAAAAAACATGTACAACAACAACAACAAGTACAGTAGTATCATGAATCTACTTCATACTAAAAATGTCATTCTTACTTACTCTTAAATCTTAATGCATGCAACAATTGTGGTTGTTTGTGAATTCTTTCATGCCTTGCAAATCATAACGTTTCAAATTATATCACATTGGAATGGTTTTTAATACTAACTACAAAATGCATTTCAAAAGTAATTGTAAGTTATTAAGATAATTTTTTTAGTAAAATAGTTAGAATTTTTGTATTTTTTTTAGCTAAACTTTTGATTTTTTCTATAACTTATGGTTAGGTTGAAGTTACTGTCTATAGTTATTCCTTAAAATAAGGTTGAATTTTTAGTTAGTTTTTGTTATAAGAAGTATACTTTAAAGTCAATGTTTAATTGCTTGGTTTATGTGTTTATGATTAAATAAAAAGGGTTAATTAATAAAAATGATCAAAATTGGAGGTACACAAAGGGTCCTTATTTTGGGTAAGTAATAACGCATTTTGCAAAATTAAACTTTGTGAAATTACTTGTTTGACCATTTAATTAGAAACGACCTATTGTTAAATTATGCAAAACAACGTAAATAGTTTTACAATGAATGAATATTTTACAAAATAAATCCCTATGTGTTTTGAAAATTCAATGACTCCTGAAATAACATGTTACTCACTATAATGAAAAATCTTATATAATGTATGTGATTTTTGATTTTGGTTTCATTAGTATGTTGTTATAGATGAAGATGAATAACATTTTTATTTTTTGTGAATGAATGATTTATTATTTGTAAAGAATTCATATATAAAATATTTGAGTATTTGTCACATAAAATATTTGAGTATTTGTAACACCCATAAAACATCATAATAAGGTATGACATAACTAACGTTCAACCACTTTTTAGATTCGGATCATTACTTGGTTATCAAACTTAACGAAAAATACCATGTTTCATCATGTCAAAAAGAACCCAACCTTAGGTACCATGATCAAATCATTAAAGAAAATGGTGTTGTGAGTATAGATAGATGTTTCACTTGCATCTTATTATGAGTCTTGTGAATCACTGATAGTGATTCGGGAGACAGAGATAATCCACCAAAGATCAACTACTGATGAATAAATGTTTATTAGATAAATGGTGAGTTCAATGGTAGAGTTGAATGAGACGACAAGTTTAATTGTCATTTAATAGATAAAAGTCTACCATTGTTAGATGCCACTTTGACATTCGATGAATTTGGAGTTCAATGACTATCAATCACTTTAATGGAAAAATGAAAAATTTCTAATTCTACAAAAATACTATAAAGTTTTTGCAATGTTCTATTAAACTTTATAGAGTTCAATACATTATGGATGTTCTAAGTAGATAAGAACACATTTGGTAACAAAATGTTTTTGGCTATTATTGCACCAATTATAACCACTAATGCTTTAAAAATGCATGCGGGTTTTCCTAGAGAGAGCATGCAAAAATATGTTTTTCAACAAAAGATCAATATATAAGGTAGTATATATTGATTGGAAGATTGGATAAGTTCTTTTTAAACTCATGATATCATATCAACAACTTTGCCAATAACATTTGAGTCAAGTACAAATAAGTTGTTCAAATCCACTTTTAAACACACAATAACTCTTTAGTGATACTAAAAAAAGATATTGGTGATGAGAAGTAGAAGTTCTCATAGGCAAACTGAATAATACTAAAATGTTGGAATCTTAAGTCGATGAAGACTTGGAGACCAAGCAATCTAGTTTATGGCAAGTTTAGTTTATGATAAGTTGGTCATAAGTTTTCTAGTCTAATACAAGTTGGTATGTTAGGCTATATATACCTGTCTAAGTTTATGATTATGAGAATAGATTGTAAACATTGGTTTTGAGTTAGTTTTTCCAATTAATCAAAGAGTTATTTTGGTTATTTTGTTTTGCATTCTTGTTTTCTAAACTTTAATTGGTATCAGAGAGAGGTTAAAACGGTGCCGGTTTGAGAGTCGGTTCCAAGAAAAGTGTAGCCCTTCGTTGCGGGACAGACGCAACGGGAACCGGGTTCAGTTTAAGGGGGTGTGGATTGTTTTTTAGCGCGAGTTGAAACATCTCAATAACAACCCCGATTTCTGTTGATTGTGCTTGTTCTACGGTAGAGAGAGACTAACCGGAGGCACGAAATAAACGAACGGGAAGACGTAAAGCGGGCAACTTTTATTCGTTTCGTTTTGCGGGTGACGGAAGACGGTAAAGGTGGTCGTGAGTCATGACCGAGGTGGAGGTCGGGTGTCCGGAAAATTCGAGAATCGAGATGGTTCGAAAAGAATGTGATTTTTCAGAATGTGACGACAACGACGAACCCGTATTTTAAATACAGATTGGGGTTGAAGAATTCTCTAGAAGGACTTAGAGATTCGGGGTGATTGTTGGAATCCTAAGTCGATGAGGACTTGGAGACCAAGCAATCTAGTTTATGGCAAGTTTAGTTTATGACAAGTTGGTCATAAGTTTCTTAGTTTAATACAAGTTGGTATGTTAGGCTTTATAAACCTGTCTATAATCGAGTTTATGATTATGAGAATAGATTGTAAACATTGGTTTTGAGTTAGTTTTTCCAATTAATCAAAGAGTAATTTTGGTTATTTTGTTTTGCATTCTTGTTTTCTAAACTTTATAAAAAACCTTAAAAAAAATGAAATTTGGTATCATCAATTTATAAGGTTGATACTCATTTTACCCCTGAGTCACAAGAATCCACTTGTAAGTTGTAAACACCCTACCCCATCACAAGTTTTTCAGAGGGTAGTCTAGTTTGATCCTTTGTATGGTTTCGTATTTTTATGTTAATTGGTATTAACGTGTTTTGTAAAACTAGCTGATGGCTAGAAGCCGTATCTTTTATTTGTGTAAAAATGTTCGGCAAAAGTAGTTGATAGTTTTTAAATATGTAAAATTAGATAAATATATATAGTTACAAACTCCGAAAAGCTAGGATTCGAACTTTTTTGTTTAAAATAAAAGTTAAACACTCCTAATGCCAAATGATTTTTTTTGAGTTTTTTTCTTAAAAGTTAAAAGCTAAAAGTTCTCAAAAGCTCTATGCCGAACACACAAAATAGTATTGTTTTGCTAAAAGTACTGATTTTTGGATATTCGAATTCGATAATTTGGAATACAGATTCACGTATCTTTTTTATTTTTTGTGATGGTTTATTGTTTGGGTTCATGTGTTTCTTTACTTTTTATTTCTGGAATTTTAATTTTCATTGGAATTTTATAAAAACAAGCAAAATTTCGCTAAAATTGCTAAAAGTAATTTCAAATTTAAATGATTAGTTATCTTTAGAGGCTATTTATCGTCGCAAAACGTAGTAACATTTAGAGACAACTTCTTGGGGCAAAAAGTAAATTAATAATTGACAAAATATCGTAAATGGTCTTTATAGTTTTAAAATTGTTTCCATGACAGCTCTTATGAAGCCTTTTTACATGAATGATCTCTTTTGACCAAACGTAGCACGCCAATGGTCTTTATGACTAACTTTGTCATCAAATTTTGTTAAATGTTTGTGAAATAACAAATATATATATATATATATATATATATATATATATATATATATATATATATAAAATATGAAGTCTCTCTCTCTCTCTCTCTCTCTCTAACAAATCCATTCTCATCAACTTCACTCCTAGACGTTACACCTCCTACAACCTCTCCTAGAATTCGAAAGATTTCATTTTCAGCTTTATCCCTCAAATTCGAGGTTTTTCAAGTCTAATTGGCCAGAAACGGAATCCAATTACAATCCTGATTATGAGCTTTTGTCGAAGCTCCTATTCCTAATCCTTTAGAAAATCGAGTCCTGTATCCAAGTTTTTGTGAGATCTTTAATGGAAAAGAGTAGGTTTGCGCAACTTTCAATGGCAAAATCATTGGTAAATAAGAAACAAAGAATCCCCAGTAGGAAATCGACAAATACAATTAGATTTGTGGTCCTTCAATCAAGAGAACACTCTTTTAATTTCTTTCTTCAATCAATATAACAAAATAATAGAAAAAATCTTGTTAGATATGGGGTTCTTAATGTTGAGAGAAAAACTTGAGAAACACACTTGAAGAAACGTTAGTACAAGTTTATATTGCAGAATTAAAGTTTAACTCAAAGGATCATAAAGCTCAACAATAATAATAAGTTAGAGTTAGATAGTTAGATAATTAGGTGCGGAAATGTAAGGAAATATAAATGACAACAAGTATTATATCAAGTATACACTTAAGCTGATTCTTAACAAGAATTGCAATCAACCAAGTTAGTAAATGAGATCAGACTTAGAGTGATTAAGTCAAGACTGACTTGCTTCGAAGGAGAAATTACGATATTAATGTAACTGTTTGGGTTCTGAAGAACTTAGAGAGTAAGATATAAGATGAAGAGATGAGTTGTGATAGATGTGTTTCATTCAGAGAATGAGAGCTCTATTTATAGAGTCTTGAAGATTACAAAGTTAAATCTGTCTAAGGCGGCCATGCAAGGCACACTGGGTAAAGAAATGTAAAGACATAAGATAACAGATAAAACTAAAACTAAGATTGATGACGTCGACTGGGGATGCGGTTCTTGATTGCGGTGGAGATACTGACTGCAGATCTGAGATGGCTTCGGATTTGTCAAGTTTAAGAGGGTCACTTTTATGCTTCAACAATTTCCCCCTAAGTGACCTCTTCAACTTTCCTTTCATTTGTCAAGCTTCAGGAATTTGATGAGAATCCACCAGAACTTCATGACTTCTCCGAGCCAAACAATTCTCCTGGAGTTTCAAACTTTACTTCAGCAGTTATGTGTTTTGACATGTTGATTGCAGTTTGAGTGATCTCTAGTTGCTTCCGGGTCATGCGGTTCATGGCAGTCATTGGAATGAAATATTTTGTATCATCATCCTTGCGTTTGAAAATGACTCCAAGATTTGGGAAGTTAGTTGCTCCAAGGGATCTTTCTTGAAAACCTTCGGTCAACACCGAAGCTGGTTCAAGAGGAGGGAGGTTGAGCTTTTGAGCAAGTACTGGGTGGATGTCTGCGTCAATCTTTGCAAAATCACAAACAGTTTCTTTTAGAAATGTACACACCCTTTCA